TGTGTGTGTGTGTGTGTGTGTGTGTGTGTGTGTGTGTGTGTGTGTGTTTTGAAGGTAATAGAATATCACTATATGATCAAAATGTGTCAAAGGCATTCTTTCTAGACTACACTGCTGAAAGGAGCAAAATAAGTTTTCAAACAGAAACTGGGTGCGTGATTTTCAGAATAATGATTAAAGGAACTGTGGGGGTTGAAAACATCTTTGAGGATTTGAATAGCTTAAACCTGCCAGTGCCTTCAAAGGTGCTATTGCTTCCACTCAGTTATATTTAGCTTTCTCTGTTTTTTTGAAAGGCTGCTAGGCAGCTCAGTTTTGTGTCTCCCTTGGCTTTCCCAGGCACAGTAAGTTGTATTGGCATCTTACCAGCATATCCTCTGCAGAAATGAGATTCCATTATTCTTTTTTCTCTGTGATTAAATTTAATCTGAAATGTTTCTCTTTTTTTCCATTGTAAAATAAATTTCACTTATAGTACAACAAATATTTTTTGCACAGATAAAAACACCAAGTCTTGATTATAATTAAATATTTGAGATATGATTCGAAATTCATTTACAGGAGATGGGACCACATCAAAAAAATTCCAGGCTGGCCTGGTGAATCTAGTTCAGGTGGTCATCCTGGGAATAGCTTTGAAACCCACTCTAGGAACCCATTGTGATGTAGGTGGATCAAAAGTGGAAAGAGGTGAATGTGACTTATCCAGTTTGAATTCAATTTCATGGGTGTTTATACAGTGCCAAGCACACTGGGGGCCTAGTCCAGCATGACTCTGAGGCTCCTAGGTGCTACGATAATACAAATGAATAATAAGTGGATGGAAAACCTTGATACTTTTTACTAATGTTGGGGAAAAAGTAGACTGGAGTTTGCTCAGGCAAGGAATCAAGATATATAGTGACTGATTGCCTAGATGATCTATGTGAGCTTCTGCATGTTGAATTCTAACACCCTTGCTGGACTGGAAGTTGCCGTTCAATACAGTTAAAATCAATGATTCTCTGCATCTTAACATTCCAGCCCAGGGAGTTGTTCCTTTCAATAATTATGATCCAGGACCAGAGTGAAAGCTCTCAAGGGAGAGGGGTAGTGCTGAGAGATTCCCTTTGTGGCGTGCTGCATGTACCGTTGATGTAGCTCAACAGCTGGCATCAGCAATGAGCCCTGCGCTGAGGAACAGGAAACCTTGCCAGTAGCACTGAGCGCATTCACACCTCCAATTGGTTGCTGTTACCGCCTGCATGGGTACCACAAAAATAAGTGGAAGTGGTATGGGAATGAAGTAGAGAAGTAAACATTTAGAGGGAGATTCACCAAGGGCATTTCAGCACCTCACTCTCCTCTTAAAAGCCCATGGGAGTTATTTATTACATCTTGTTTATATTATGGTAGTGCCTCTGAGCCCCAGTCAAGGATCAGGGCTCCATTATGCTGGGCACAGGACAGACATGTAACAAAGAAGATAGTCTCTATTCCAGAGAACTCAATCTTAAATGACAGGTGTTGCACAAGGTGAGGACCAAAGGAACAGATGTGGGAAAGGGAGGTAACACACAATGAAAGTTTTAGCAGAAAATGAGGGGTCGCAGCTTTTGTCTGACCACCTAATTCCCATTTGTGCCTTTGACAGTCTCTTCAGTGGGGGAAAATCTGTACTGTGTCTGTAGGGCATCAGCAGGACTGAAAGTAATAATAGGTAACTATACTGCTTTCAAGCGTCAGTTTTATTGTGTGTGTTTGTTTTTTCTCCCATCAGCTAAAATTTCTGAGGTCTTAATCAAATCGGGGGAGTACATGAGTCAGCTGCTGGAACAGGCCTCTTTGCATTTCTTCGTCACAGCACGTCTCAATGAAACGAAAAAGATTCTGGCCAAGCAGAAGACCTCTGTACTGCAAATCCCCAAGCTGCACATCAAGGTCAGTTTCAGGAATGCAACAAAGGAAACTAGCAACTATCCTGAGTTCAGGATACATTCTGCATCACTGTCACACTGACCTCTATTATGTATATCTACGGGTTGGGCCAGTGCTTAGGTGGCTAACCTGGGGGTCTTTTTTCAAACAAATTTTAAAAGCTAATGTTATAAATAACTTAAAACAGGGTCAGATATAAAAATAAGTAGAGTTGATCGCATCACCTCTAGTTCGGTTGCCTCATGCATCCCACTCGGACCCTGTTTTTAGTTGCTTATAACTTTGCCAGATTTTAACGTTTTGGCTGAAGTTTTCCATGTTGGTGTGTGCCTGAGGCTGAATTTATTTGTTGTTTTTTGAAAGGCTCAGCAAAAATGAAGAAAATATGTTTTGCGCATGTTAAACATTCTTACAACTGTTTTGTTAAGGTCTAGCACCTCCATGCTTTGGAGAAGGACTTGAAATTTGGTAGGGACATTACCTTGATGTCAGGTATGGGCCTTTTGCCATCCCCAGGAAAATTCATCCAAGAAGGCCAAGTTATGAGCCTCTGAAAAATCTCAGTTTGCACATGTTCAGATAGACTTGTTAGTTTGGCAGCTAAATTCTCCTGACTCCATCTGCACTGAACATGTTCCAGCAGGGGACTTCAGGGAGTGAGCAGGACTTTCCCTCTTATTACTTGGGCAGGAGGAGCAGCAAACAAGGAAATGGTGGGGGCACAGGCAAGACGGGTTTATATAACTATCCTTCCAAATGTGAATAGATACAGAACAATCTTCCTGACCCTGCAGACAGACTGAAGCAATAGCTATGAACTACCCCACGTCATCTCAAAAGGAGGGTCAGCTCTGAAATATAATGGAGGTAGCTCAAATGGCAGCATTGTTTAAGATTCTGTATTTCTTAAAATAAACACACAAAAATTCTGAGGTCCTAACATCATAGTTATATCCATGTGAAACAGCAGGCAAGCTACAAAAAAGGTGAGAAAGTAGAACAGATATTGTAGACTCAAAATACTGAGAAGTCTGCAGAAAAACTCATGAAATACAAAAGTGTCACTATGGTCTAATTAGAGAATGTAAATGATTATCAGTATTGTCTTCAGACAGGGTTTTGTTTTACAGAGCATCTTCAGTAGCCAAATTTAAAAATGTATAATCTTGTAGCTTCAGTATTCAGACAGAACCTCCTACACAAAATCCCCAGGTTAAGCTCCAAAATAGCTTATCCACCCTCCTCTGTTGTGATGAAAGAATAATTAATGAAAGTGATAGGTTTTTGCCCAATACCCATTTATTCTATAAACAATAAAAGCTTAAGGTGACCTGCAAAGGGTAAAAAAAATATATATATATATTGTGTTTTGTGCCCTATTTGCTGCTTTGTGATGTACATAGGTGGCCTGCTTTTTGTTTTTTTCTTTCAAGTGCATGCAAGAGAGAGGTGGTAGGGGTTTCTGCTCAATTTTAATTTTAGAAATGTGAGAAATGCAAGTCTCATCTTCCCGAACTTTCTTGGGAGACTTCAATATGTGACTTGGGTGACTACTTAATCCTTATGTAAGGGGAAAGGGTAAAAAATCCTATTCCCCATATGTCGTCATATATACCTCTTGATCTTTCTATGTCTGGCTAAAAGAGCATTGGAATTAACCAATTAATGCTTTCTTTCAAATTTAGCTTGAAGCCAGGTCACAATAATAAGTGTGCTATGGTGAAATTCTGCTCTCAGTTACATCTGTGTAAACCCAGAATAAC